CACACACACACACACACACACACACACACACACACACACACACACACACTCTGAGGCTGCAGCTGAACATGGATTTTCGGATTCAGACTTGTCTCGAGTCAACCAGAGGACACCTTCTTACCACAGCTGCTTTATATACTGAAATTCAAAAATATCTAAATTGAATTAGAATTTAAACTTTGTTTTTTAGCAGTTTGTCAAATGATGTTTTCTTGCATCACACATGGCAGCATTCATTTGTTCAGTTTCTGCTCGACAGATAAAGGAAGATGAGCAGAGTTTGAACTTCATCTTGTTAGGATGCTTCAACACTTTACACAGACTGATCTCAAATAAATAAACCAGAGTCAAGTAAACGTTCTTATTTGTAATAATTTTATTCCTGCCTTCTAATACGATTGTATTTATTTTCAAGTTGAAGGATACTCCTGAACATCTTATGTGTGTGGTGAGTTGGTAACATGAAGCAGTGTTGTAGATCGTTCACACAGCTCCGTAGCGTTATGTCAGCTTCCTGTTTGCTTACCTTCTGGTCCGCGAGCACAGAGCTGCTCTGGAGTGGAGCCAGGTGGCTGCTGAGCAAGGCAGCGCCGGGCTGGTCGTGCTCACAGAAGATGGTATCGTTGATGTAATGGAAGCGATCCCCGGGCATCAGTCTGGTTCTACAGGTGGCGCAGCTGAAACACTGAGCGAGCACAGGACAGTCAGAAATAAAGGCTTGGCCTCCATGAAGGAATGAATATTTTACTGACACTTTAAAGAAAGAAATGAGAGTTACAGCTGCTTTGGTCAAACTGTGAAAACGTGTGACCTCAGAGTTTGTTGTGAAGGACTCTACGACTGCATCCAAGTTTAGCTCTATAGAGTACTGAGTCAACGGTCCCGTCATGCTGGACTTCACACTGTGACGGATGAGATTCTGCCAACAAACACAAGTGACTCCAAACAGTCTTGTGTTTAACACACTCTGAGCACTGACAAGTCTCAGCTACACCTAATGTTACCTGAATCTGTGAAACTGACCGCTTTGAAACCATTTTTGGACTGGCCAAGGTGAGTAGGCTGTGGCAGCCATATTGAACCTGTCCAGATGGTCTGACTTAACTATTGTGGATTTATTGACCTGGACGACTGAGCATGCATCAGGACATATGCCCCTTTTGCACTGGCCCTACTCAGCCTGGCTCAGCTCAGCCTGGATTTGCACCTGCACTTTAGGACCGATTCTGGAGGCGTGTCCAGAATCCAAGTCTGCTATGAGTTACTCAAAGCAGTCTGCTCCTCAGATAAATATTTAATTATTATTTTTATATATGAATGTTTCTGTTAACTTATTTTATATATGAATATTTCTGTTCAGTCCCTGACACGACTTCTGTTGTGACTTGGCTCTGTATAAATAAACTGAACTGAATTAAATCTGATGAACCAGATTCTACAAAAACATTTTATATTTAAATCTAAAAAAGTTAAGTCTGGTCCTCTGGACGTTCAAAAAACAAACAAAACAAAAACAAATGTAGAAATGTTTCTTCTTTCATCTGAAAGACTTCTTCAGTGTGAGGTGCTGTATTCAGCTCACAGCTATTTATAGAAGACTGAGCTGAATAAGCTCCTCAGACTGAAGAAGTCTTTTGGATGAAAGAAGAAACATTTCTGCTTTTTTTTGTTTGTTTTTTGAACGTCCAGAGGACCAGACTTAATTTTTTTTAGATTTTTCTACCTGGATTATTGAGCATGCATCAGGATATCTATATTTAAAATTCTATATTTTTCTTCATCATTTGATGTATTTGCACTCATTGTGGTTTTGTTTCTTGTGTACAATTATTTTTTCTTCTATACAGATTTTTTTTTCTTGTACACAGATTATTTTTAGCTTTGAATTAAAGTTTAGCTTTGATTTAAAGCTTTAATTTAAAGTGTAATCTTGTTTTGTGATTTGTTCATCTGTGTGTTAGAATAAAGTTGAACCAAAGGCTGTGTCTCTTCTTTAAACATGTTGGAGGGAAATATGAGAAATTCAATAATTTTGTCTTTTTATAATTTTTCAGTTGAATTAACTTTAATTAACAGATTATTTAATAAAGCCAAAGGGAAAACAGGATTTCATGATAAAGCGGCACCGTTTATTTATTTTTAATTTTCACTGATAAAATAAAAAACTTATATGTTCTACATAAAATGTTTAAAAATGAAAAACGTTTCCACCCCCTGTCCCTCCATCCCGGTCCTCCCGCCTGCCAGGACTCGAATCCGGCCTTTGTGAGCAGGCGAAGCCGGGGCTCGGGGTTCGGCCTCGCGGGCTTCAACGTCTCGGCAGCTCGTATGATCCTCCGCGGTGACACCTCTCGCTCGAATTTTATCTTCGGTCACCAAACACAAAAAAACGCCTGGACTTCAGAATCAAACACGGCGTTGTCATTATTGTTTTTAAAATCTTTAAAATAGATCCAGCCGCTGCTGCGCGTCCAGAGAAATTGCAAATAGCAGCTCAGTGAAAAGTTTCTGAGATCCAGTGACTCCTCCCCCTGACCAGTGACTCCTCCCCCTGACCAATCAGAGTCCTGCATTCACGTTTGGTCCGGACCCAGCTCGACTGAGCTCGCTCGGTCCCACCAGAGAAGCAGGGACGAAGAGAGGTCCTGAATCAGCCTCAAATCAGCTAAATATACTAAAGTACTGGTGCAAAAGGTTCTTTCTGTGGTGGGCTGCCCAGAATTGGGGCTTATTAGGGGCGGTGCAAAAGGGGCAATACGTGATGCATGCTCACACAAACCACTTTGGCCAGGTTTGTCTCAGGCTGGTTCCGTGAATAGCAAGCGGCCATCAGGGCACTAACGATCGATTGTTAAACTATTGATCCTCATTTTACACGTGAGCAGCTGGTTCTGGATGTCCCCAGCAAACTGATCCACTATGAGAAGGTGCCATTTACAGGACTGAGTTTGTTGGCAGGCCTCGGACAGATGAAGTCTTTCGGATGAACGACGAAATGTTCAACCAGGAAGAATCCGTCCAGGCGACATGATCTGACCTCTTTGGATTGGTTCACCTGGATGATGGAGCATGCACCAGGACATATTGAATTGTGTTGACTCTAAACATCAGTGAGCTCTATAGACATACAGGTCCTTCTAAAAAAATTAGCATATTGTGATAAAGGTAATTATTTTCCATAATATAATGATAAAAATGAAACTTTCATATGTTTCAGATTCATTGCACACCAACTGAAATATTTCAGGTCTTTAATTGTTTTAATACTGATGATTATGGCATACAGCTCATGAAAACCCAAAATGCCTGTCTCAAAAAATTAGCATATCATGAAAAGGTTCTCTAAACAAGCTATTAACCTAACCATCTGAATCAACGACGTAACTCTAAACACCTGCAAAAGATTCCTGAGGCTTTGGGGAGTGGTGGCGCAGAGGTTAGAGAGGTGGGCCTGTGATCCGAAGATTGCCGGTTCACGCCCCGGCCCCGACAACATCAAAATTGTGGGTGGGGTAGGTGAAACACCCACACTTGCCCCCACCCTCATTCGCCCCACTCTGGGCCCATGAGCAAGGCCCCCAACCCCCACCATGTGCTCCCTAAACAGGTCTCTCTTGAAAATGAGTTCTCGTGGCTCAATGAGACTAACCTGGATAAATAAAGGCTAAATGAAAAAAAAAA